TCCGAGACATTCTTCCCCAGACACACTCGCTGCTCCCTGTCTGTCAGGAAGTCAGTGATCCACCTGCAGGTGGAGCAGTTTGAGCTGGGAGCAGGAATGCTCCCAGCAGGATGGTGTTGAAAGCAGAAGAGGGAGTGCTAGTTAGCAGTTAGCATTTAACCTTTAAAGCCTCGTCTCTACTCTAATCTACTACTCATTCTACTAGTAGTGAGTAGTAGTGTAGGAGTTATACTTCACTGTATATTTTGTTAAGCTAAGAAGAAAAATAAACTTTAACATAATCTCATTGCTTTGATGTAGTCACAACATTCCAGCGCGTTGGTATTTACTCCAAGAAGATTACAGCTGCTCCAGAGAGAGGCGCCTGAATGTGGGGCTGGAGTCATGTGACCTGTCTCTCAGCTCAGAGTTGAGTAAATTGGGCAATTGATTCTTTGCCTATGCGCTCCTCTGTCCATCTCATACTTTATCTCACATCAATTATGAGCATGTTAAGTTTAACTTAAAGGAAAAGGTAGAGTAGGGCCTCAAAGGAAAAAAGACATTTTATCGGCTTTATTTGTCACTATATCAATTTTAGCTCCACATTGTGGCTGCTTTGAAGTAGTTCCCGTGCATTGGCATTTAGAGGATTACAGCTGTTCCAGAGAGAGGTCTCAGCAGAAGGTAGTCATGTGGCCTGTCTGTCAGCAGAAGGCAGTCATGTGGACTGTCTCTCAGCTCCGACCCATGACTGCAGCACATGACTCGCTGGAGCTGGATTAGCGCCACACCAGCCACCGAGCGTGCCGCACGAGGCCCGCGTAATCCTCGTGGACAATTCACAAAACACAAGAACGCTGCTTATAGCCAAGGCACAGCAAGGAGAGGGAACGGAAGGGAACACAATGCAAAGTGCTTCACAAAACAAGAAAAGAAACATTGAAATCACACGAGGCAGTAAAGAGTAAATAATTATAGAACACTCTTGTACCGTCCTCGGCTCACACTACAGTGATTAGAAAATACACACAAAAAACAATTTTCAAGCTGATTTTTTCTAACTTGACAAGCCTTGATTCATTTAGATCCTTTTAGACCCTGATTTAGGATGTTTTGCTTGGGTTGTTGCAGCTAAATTGTCAGAGAAGAAGTCTGTCTCACTTTTTCAGGAAGACTGCTCCAGATTTTACAGTGCCTTGCGAAAGTATTCAACATTTTGCCACATTTCAGGCTTCAAACATAAAGATATAAAAAAAAATGTTTTGTCAAGAATCAACAACAAGTGGGACCCAATCGTGAAGTGGAACAAAATTTATTGAATAATTTAAACTTTTTTAACAAATAAAAAACTGAAAAGTGGGGCGTGCAATATTATTCGGCCCCCTTGCACTAATACTTTGTAGCGCCACCTTTTGCTGCAATTACAGCTGCAAGTCGCTTGGGGTATGTCTATCAGTTTTGCACATCGAGAGACTGGAATTCTTGCCCATTCTTCCTTGCAAAACAGCTCGAGCTCAGTGAGGTTGGATGGAGAGCGTTTGTGAACAGCAGTCTTCAGCTCTTTCCACAGATTCTCGATTGGATTCAGGTCTGGACTTTGACTTGGCCATTCTAACACCTGGATACGTCTATTTGTGAACCATTCCATTGTAGATTTGGCTTTATGTTTTGGATCATTGTCCTGTTGGAAGATAAATCTCCGTCCCAGTCTCAGGTCTTTTGCAGACTCCAACAGGTTTTCTTCCAGAATGGTCCTGTATTTGGCTCCATCCATCTTCCCATCAATTTTAGCCATCTTCCCTGTCCCTGCTGAAGAAAAGCAGGCCCAAAGCATGATGCTGCCACCACCATGTTTGACAGTGGGGATGGTGTGGGTGATGAGCTGTGTTGCTTTTACGCCAAACATATCGTTTTGCATTGTGGCCAAAAAGTTTGATTTTGGTTTCATCTGACCAGAGCACCTTCTTCCACATGTTTGGTGTGTCTCCCAGGTGGTTTGTGGCAAACTTTACACAAGACTTTTTATGGATATCTTTGAGAAATGGCCACTCTTCCATAAAGGCCAGATTTGTGCAGTGCACGACTGATTGTTGTCCTATGGACAGACTCTCCCACCTCAGCTGTAGTTATCTGCAGTTTATCCAGAGTGATCATGGGCCTCTTGGCTGCATCTCTGATCAGTCTTCTTTGTCTTCATGGTTCTCTCTGTGCTTTAAACAGAACCCTGAGACTATCAAAGAGCAGGTGCATTTATACGGAGACTTGATTACACACAGGTGCATTCTATTTATCATCATCAGTCATTTAGGACAACATTGGATCATTCAAAGATCCTCACTGAACTTCTGGAGTGAGTTTGCTGCACTGAAAGTAAAGGGGCCGAATAATATTGCACGACCCACTTTTCAGTTTTTTATTTGTTAAAAAAGTTTAAATTATCCAATAAATTTCGTTCCACTTCACGATTGTGTCGCACTTGTTGTTGATTCATGACAAAAAAATTTAATTCTATATCTTTATGTTTGAAGCCTGAAATGTGGCGAAATGTTGAAAGGTTCAAGGGGGCCGAATACTTTCGCAAGGCACTTTAGCAGCATAAATCTGAACTGCTGCCTCCTCATGTTTAGTCTTGACTCTGGGACCAGCAGGAGGCCAGTCCCTGTGCTCCTCAGTGTCCCAGCAGGAGACCAGTCCCTGTGATCCTCAGAGTCATTATTCTGAATTGATTGGAGATATATTAACTTGTAACTGGGTAAAACAAATAAAATTAATAAAGTGCATGAATGTATCCTGAATATTATACAACTAAAAAATCACTCGTAGACCACAGACATCCACCAAGAGGCTCAGTTCCATTCCTTAAGTCACAAGCTCTGTGGGTAGAGGTGCCTCTGAATCCAATGAAGCATGTGGTGATAATAAACCACCGCCTGTATTTCTCCCACAGGCTTTTGCTTGACTTTTCCTTCATTAAAAAGCACAGGCTGTTCTCACAGACCAACACCAGCTCTTCTCCAGCTGCAGCAGATTTATATATATCCATATTTTTCACATTTTTGATATTTCAATTTAATTTCATTTATTGTTGTTTGGTCCGTCACGGTCATTCCAGTTCCAAAACGAACACAATAACACAGTGAAGTCTGAGCATGACCACAGGCAGAGGCCAGAGCTTATCAACCTCATCAAAATCCAACCTAGCACTTTAACAAACGTCCAAGCTGTAAATAATCAGATTAAACAAGAATCCATACTACGATACACAACACCTCCATCACTATTTTCTTTAGCTCATCTCAGCAACCGTTCCATAATTTAACACCTTTACTGGAAAACCAATGTTCTTATAAAGTAGTTCTTCCATGTGGTCTAATAATCAAACTGAGGCCCCTTACATTAGATTGACTTTGCCTCTCAGTAAATATAAGATGAAAAGACTGAGGGGTTTTATTTTGCTGAACTCCAAAGAAGAGGAATTAACAACATCATTAAAGATGCAGTCTGACGCATTTTTTTAAATATTGTGGGAAAACGTCCCTAAACCCTAAAAGTAGTAAAGTTATCATGTGTTTTCAAATACAAAATAATAATACAAAAAATAATGGAATTGACCAGATGCCTATAGTCTACAATAACTAATAAATACAATTTTGGAACGGACAGATAAAATTAAACCAATGGGATGCGTTTACCGCCTTCACCCTCTTCATGTTTCTCGCGAGTGCACCGGAGTTATTGGATTTTCTAAAACCTAAACTCTCCCTGTTGTGACAAAAAAAAGAAAAATGCTGGATGTTTGATTATGGTGGAGAAGGAGGGGAGGGGGGAGTGGTTTCAAGTTGGTGCTACGACTAAGCTAACAAAATCGCTTATTGAACCTATAAACAAAGAAATGTATGTTTTATTTAGTTTGAATGATTGTTTGATGATTACCCTACCATATGGTGACAGGAGGTTGACTATCACATATCCACAGCCTTTTACAGAGATCAGAGAAAGATCAGAGCGAGACCGGAGAAAGATCAGTGAGAGAGAGACCAGAAAGAGACCAGAGAGAGAGACCATAGAGAGACCAAAGAGGGATCAGATAGAGACCAGAGAAAGACCATGGAGAGACGGTTGAGAGACCAGAGAGAAGGACCGGAGAGAGATCAGTGAGAGACCAGAGAGAGAGACCACTTTTGGACGTTAAATATTTGATTCCAGAGCTGGTTCTTGAACGGATCCTGGTGCCGCTCTTTGTGAAAAAGCAATGCTCATCTCTCTCTGTTTTATAATAATAAATGTATTAATAATTACAAAAAGTACATTTCCCAACAGTTCTGGGCCTGGGCGATATGTAACATGTTTGTATTTGACAAAAAATAAAGAAGAAAGACTCTCCTTTATTAGTGAAAGGGTAAAAGACAAAGGCAGAGGTCAGTGCAGAACTGATGTATGTTTTGAAGTCTCCCACAGAGAGACCAGAGAGAAACCAGAGGGCGACTAGAGAGAGACCAGAGAGAGACCAGAGGGCGACTAGAGAGAGACCAGAGAGGGACCAGAGGGCGACTAGAGAGAGAACAGGGAGAGACCAGAGGGCAACTAGAGAGAGACCAGAGAGGGACCAGAGGGCGACTAGAGAGAGAACAGGGAGAGACCAGAGGGAGACGGGAGAGAGACAGGAGACAGACCAGAGAGAGACCAGAGAGAGACCAGACAACATTGAGAGTGACAGGAAAGAGACCAGAGAGAGACGGAAGAGAGACCTGAGAGAGACCAGAGGGCGACTAGAGAGAGACCAGAGAGAGATCCGATAAAAAACAGAGAGAAACCAGAGCGTGAGAGACCAGAGAGAGACCAGAGAGGGAGAGAGAGAGAGAGAGAGAGAGATCAGGTATACCCCAGAGAGATCAGAGAGAGAAACTAGAGAGAGACCAGAACGAGACAGAAGATAGAGATCACAAACGTAACCACCACAGACTGGGTGCCTCTGGGTGTACGTACCGGTGAGCAGGGCGGGGTCGGGGCGTACGTACCAGTGAGCAGGGCGTGGTAGTGCAGGCCTCTCTCTTTGTCTTGGTGCGAACACACGTCGAACAGATAAGCTTTGATGGGTCCATCGATGAAGTCTGCAGCGAAGTCAAATAGCACCACTCCACACATGACCACGACGATGGCCCAGACGCTCCGCAGAGACCGATCACTGACCAGAGCTGGACACACACACACACCACAGAGTCACATCTCTGATTTTAACATTAAGTTTAGTTAAGTTTAAGTATGGTTTAAAGGTGATGAGAGGCAGACATCAAACGATCAAGGACAGAAAGGTAAACAAGCCAATTGTAATCGCAAACACAGGGACCAGACCCAGACGTTGCATGCAGGGAAATGATAATTGAGCAGATTGCATACGGATGGCTAAGGCCAGGCTAGTCAAGTATAAAATACTGCAGTAGAATATAAAGTATGCCTGCTACTTTATGATGCTAAAGTTACAGATTTTACTTAATTTTAGTAAGAGTTCCTTTATCTTGTGTTGTGTGCTCCTCATTCTAACTGTTCTGTAACTGGTGATGCAACACTGAAATGTCCCCGCTGTGGGACTAATATAGAATCTCTTAATCTTAAACCAAATGCAAATTATGAATTGCATGAAAAAAGATAGATAAACAAGATTAAATACTTCGGTTTCATCTACAGATGTGAATGAAACAGATCACATTGTGCCATATTTAACCTCTTTTTTTGTCTTTCTTTCTTTTTTAAACATATTGGACAGAGTCATGTGAGTCAATATGTGCTTAAGGGAGGAAATCACTTCACTACTTTTAGTTTGTTCATCAAAAGAATTCCCTATAATAATAGCAATAATAATGCACTGCGTTTTGGACACTCAAAGTCATTTCACATGTCATTATTCACTCTCTCCAAACACAGTGGTGATAAACTACTACTGCAGCCACAGCTGCCCTGGGGCACACTGACAGAAGCGAGGCCACCAGTATGTGCCAGTACCATAGACCATATATAGTAACGGACGTAGTCATGCCTATCTCCGCCGTTCTAACTTATGGGCCAAAAATTGGGCTTTCTTGGAGTGATTCAAAATGGCCGCGGGGGCAGGAAAATATGAAAAAACGCATCTGCGCATGCATCAGCCAGCACGAGCCCCATTCATTTGAACGAGAGACTTCAAAAATGTACAGCGAGTAAACTAGACTGGTCCAAAAAAATCCACCCCCCTCAGCATTGACACACATGTGGAACGGAGCTTTGGGCCAAGAGCCAACCTTTGGTCCATCCTGTAAAGACGTTTTTGAGAGGTCTGCCAATGCTATATGTTAGCATTGGCTAATTCTTCATCTGGGTCCACCCCTATCGGCCCGGGGTGGTATTGCAGCATGTCAGCGCACGTCATTTTGGCCATTTTTGAGCCGGGACCCTCCCCCACTGGCCAGTACCCTGCCCTGCTTAGCATCAGAGTTCCAATGGAATTTTGAAAGTCAAAATGTATTAATGATTAAAATGTCTCCAAAACATGTAGAATTATTAATGTGTTTTATATTTGAGGTCAGAGGTTGTTCTTCATGTGGAGGAGTGAAGAGGGAGCAGCGTCAGCAGTCAAAGCTCTCAATTTACAGGTCAGTTGAGGTGAGTCGGGCCTCTTTTCCGGATGCCTCCTGGACGTCTCTCTGAGGAGGTGTTCTGGGCACGTCCCACCGGGATGAGACCAGAGGAAGACCCAGGACATGTTGGAGGGACTGTGTCTCTCAGCTGGTCTGGGAACGCCTCAGGTTTCCCCCAGATGAGCTGGAGGAAGTGTGTGTGGAGAGAGATTATGATTAAGATTAAGAGATTCTTTGTTCGTCCCACAGAAAGGTGATTTCAGTGTTGCATCACAAGTTACAGAACAGCAGGAATGAGGGGCAGATAACACAATATAAATGAAAGATAACTCTATACTAAAAATCAAATAAAACAAAATCTCTACCTCTGGCATAAAAAGAAGCAAGTATTAAATCTCTATCTTTAGCAAAATAAGGAGCATGATGTAGAAGCAATGTGACCTGGAAACGGATACAAAGAAATTAAATGTATAGAGTTTATAGTTTCTTTCACAAACTATCCAATGTGCTTTACTACATAATTATATCTCGTTCTTCATCTTGTGACGGAGCCTGGAGCCATTGTGACGTTTTGAACTTGAGGCTTCATCTCCAGATCTACAGTCATGCCTGTTGCCGTTTGCCCTTTGCCTTGTTCTCATTCAGACGCTTCCCCACAGACTCACAACGTCACGGATCCAACATTAACCCTTTAAGGATCACCTAATTTCGCCTGCTCCTTCTCGAATTATGATACCCAAATGGAAATGCTTATTGTGTGGACATCTTGTGTCTGATTTTGTGTTATGATGCCTCATTTGAAAGGTAACACCTTCTAGTTTCTGAAAATGTATGTTACAGTTTGTTAGGAAGGACACAGTCTGCACTACAGCTTCTCAAACATGAGTCAAAGTTAGTTTTTTTTGTCTCAAAAAAAAAAGGCAATTTCAAAAGGTTCTTCTGAAGACATACTTTATGGTATGATGTTCAAACTCACCAGAGCAGATGTTTGTGGTGTTGGAAACACCTGTATGAAATTTTAGACCTTTAGGTGGAACTATTTTGATGCTGGGGGCTTTTTTGTAACTAATGGGCACATTCGGCACAAGTGGTCCATTTTTGTGCCAACTGTGCAAAAGTGTTTTACATGCAAATTATCAATGTTTTTACACCAAAAATCCATTTATATAATTTTTTGGCTATTACTCTTGCTATAAATAGCATTTTTTCCAGATATTGAAATGTTTGCAGAAAAGCTATTATTTATATAGTTATAGCGCGTGTTCTCCGTGAAAAAGGCTCCGTCTTCCTCTTTACGCATTCAAATATGACGGGAACAGTGGGAGGAAGCTAGAAGTCCGACACATCGCCTGAAACCTGAGATTATTGCCTACAAGATGATTTGATGGACATCCAAATCGGCCAATGGTAGTCAAGACAATGCTGTCGTGACGCACAGATATCTATGTGAATGGAGCGCTAAAGCTAGGTGCGCTTGTTTTACTCAACTCACTCTACTTTCCAAACCATAGCACTGAAAAGTCCGGGAATGGGCTTGTTTTGAAGGGAAGACTGAGAGGAAGACGAACATACCCAGTGACGCTAGCTAAACAGTAAAATGTCCTCTTCATACAGTGCGCAAAGAACAGGTTTTGTTTTTGTTTGTGCAACTTTCAATACTCAAATATGTTGTTGCAAGTGGATGACTTTGAAGAAAAAACAACTGGATATAATTATTCTCTAGACCGTAACGAACAAAACAAATGCACACATGTGTGGATTAGACGTGATTTGCCCCAGAATATTAGCATGACAAGGTAAGAAACGACAATATATATTTTAAACATATATACAGTTTGACTACTTATTCTTACTTTTGGTTATATTTAATGTTTATTTGAACATAATACGTGTATAGAGGTGGGAATAAGCTTTCAAAAGAGATATAGCTTGACTATATTGACACAAGTGAATTCTAATACTGATGCTGTTAAATGAAAAATAACTGAATCCTCCCTGTACAGGGAGGGTGATCCTTAAGAGGTTAAATTATAAAGATAATAACTTATTCTGCTCAGTTCTTGATTAACACTAGAACCTCCAGAGCTTTGGGACTGTCATATTTCTTTTAAATGACCTTTTAATTTTTCTAAAAAGGAGTAGAGGAGTGGCGAAGAGCAAGGGCTAGTTACCATAGAAACATACTGTATACTGTTAACTTGCTACTGGTTAGCATTAGCCTCTGTTTTTTTATTTTTTTATTTAGTTTTTCAAGTTATATTCACCAGTTTTAGCACTTATTAAAATTGAATTGGTGCATTTGAATAAAACGGATGGTGAACTCACTAATTTCCATTAGTTTGAATGATAAACAATAAATAACACGTCTACAGCAGCTCACAGGGGCCAAAAAGCAAGGAGGCGATAGATTTGTGTTCCTAAAAAAATAATATTCTGCTCAGTTCTTAACACTAGAATCCCCAGAGCTTTGTGACTTTTTCCTTTTCTATGTATTTAGAGGTGTAAAGAAGCAGAGAAAAGCAAGTGCTAGTAACCATAGCAACACACTGTTTCTTACTACTGGTTAGCATTACCTCTCAACATGTTCTTTTCTTGTCAGTTTTTCAAGCTATATTCACCAGCCCTAGCACTTAGCAAAAGTGAATATTCTATGACATTATCTTTATAAAATTGTCTTTTAATTTTGAAATGGAGTAGATTTCCCTTTAACTCCCAGACCACAACAAGCGCTAGTAACTATACATAGTTCCCACATGACGTCACTACATACGGGGATTTGCCGACCCGGCGCCATTTGTGTTGGCATGCTGTGGGCAAAACAATAGAAAAAGAAGCTGAAACGTGTTAATGTCGTGATAAAGTTGAAAATGGTCATCTCCTGCTGGGTCAATGGATGTTCAAATCGTGCCGGAGGTTCCGTTAAACTTGGATTTTACAGTATACCCATCATTAGACTTCATGAATGTGAGAAGACTAAGCTTTTGTCAGAACAACCACGGAGGTTATGGCTTGCGAAGATAAACAGGCAAGAAACTCCCTCAAAACACGCAAGAATATGCTCGGAGCACTTTGTGTCAGGTGCGTATCGTATCTTATAATGTGTTGACAGACGTAATTTACTCAGTACTAACTTGTGTATGCTGATAGCTGGTAACTTGAGAGTTTCATTATTTAGATTACTTTATTATGAGGAGGATCGGTGTCGCGTCCGAGGCTCTCGAGGGCAACGTAAATGTATTAAATAGATAATAATAGTTCTATGGTGGGCTAAAACAATGTTCACAAACAGCATTGCTTCTGTAAAAAGATCTGTGTCATAAAATAAACTGCTCTTTACGCCTGGAAAAATCACTTGCCCACCATTCACCAAAACATACGGTCAAAAACGCGGAAATAAACAATAACAGCAATCCAGAGTGTCCGTGTGGCATTAGCATTAATTAAATTAATTGTTAATATAATTAAAATAATTAAATGGAGCTCCAACTGGTATTAAATCTAAAGTTTTTGAGAAATGTTTGCATTGCTTGTTAATTTTTGCTGCATAATTTGATCAAATATGTAAAACATGTCCGTAGCACGTTAAACTGTGGTGCCATTGTATTAATATACAATTATTTGCTCAAAAGTTGCCCTTTTTTTCCAATTTGCGTTTGAATATCTACATTTATTCTCATTCTTCTGTTTAATGGAATGTACAAACACAGCAGCGTGCCATCAAAGATGGCGTCTCCGAGGAGGTCATGTGACATTCATTGGTCTGTGGGAACTATGTATTGCAACATACTGTTAGCTTGCTATCTGTTAGCCTTAACTTCTCAGCAAAATGTTTTTTTCCTGTATTTACCAGTTTTTGCACTAATTAAACGTGAAAAAGGGAATATTTGAATCAAACTGATGGTAAATTCACTAACTTTGATTGATTTGAATGAGAGCAGTCAAAATGTGGAAGTCCTGGTGCTAAACAACAAATAACACATCTACAGCCGCTCACAGAGGCCAAACAGCTGAGAGACAATGTTGTGTAATCTTTTCACATTATTTTGACCATTTAGGTGACATTGGATCCAAACAGAAAATCTCAAACACCTAGCTAATATGCCATGACCTTCTAGCTGAAAAACACTGCTGATATAATTCAATTCAATGTATTTGTGTATTGCCCTAAATCACAACAGTCGTTATCTCAGAGGACTTTACAAAGCTGTCGATTCACCAACACAGATCAGAGAATCAAACAGTTCAAACACAAGAAGTCTAATATTAATTTTCATCCCTTTAAATGCAATGATTTATTTTTTTAAATACGCACACATATAGCCATTGGTCCATAAAGGGCAGATGACCAATATCCATAAATATTAACATTAGAATAGAATAGAATAGATCTTTATTGTCTGTTCAAATTGAGCAGAGGTTTTGTCTTTCAACACGGCACAATTCATGATCATTCATAAAACACACATAAAATACATTTAAAACACATTAAAAAAATACATTTCATAATTTATACAGTGCTACCGGTTGTTTAGAGCAGTGACTGCAGATGGGATAAATGATCTCTTGTAGATGTTTTTTCGGGCCAGCGGGGTTCTGTATCTCCTTCCTGATGGCAGCAGAGAGAAGGAGCTAAACAGCGGGTGTGTGGCATCCTCAGTGATGAGAGTGGCCTTCCTCAGCACTGATTGGTTGTACAGCTCACAGAGCAGAGTTTGTGGTGTTTGGGTGATTTTGCTGGCCTGCTTTACTACACTTTTGAGTTTTGTCCTGTGTTTGAGAGTGAGAAAATTGAACCAGGTGGAGATATTGATATTGATATTGATATTGATAGAGATAATAATAGATCATAATGATATAGATAATTAACTTTGGCAACAGTAAGAAGACATTATATTTAATACAGGCAACAGCCAGAAACAACTTCATCTGATACAAAACAAAGTAAAAGTAAAACTCCCCAGTGTTCCTATGGTTCATTCAATAATAATGTACTGCCTCCAGACAGTAGACAGGCCTCCGGAGGATGATTGAATATCTTTTAAATGTACATTAAGTGAGTAATATTTATTTATATAGTGCCTTTCACAGACCGGAGTCACAGAGCACTTTACAATTGTTGTGAGCATTTGTCTCTCACTCCACACCAGGGAGCAGGGGGAAAACACATAATAATATTTGGTTTTATGTTGATGCAAATAAGATTAACTTTGATGGACTGTATATTTGTATACTTTTATATTTGTAAATTTTCCACACAATATTCTCATGTAGGACAATACAATATTCTCATGTAGGACAATAAACCAAAGTACTTAAACTATTCCACTAATATTAAAGTTGCCATATGTTTGATGTGAGTCAATCAAATTCAATGTATCCCTAAATCACAACAGTACTTATAGGACTGTTTTTGTCTGACACAAAACAGTTAATGAGTAAAGTTTCTGAACCCAATTTGAAACCCTGAAATCCAAAGTTCATTTACATTCACGTCTCACCTGAAACCACAGCGTCTCCATTGAGGAACATAGTGATCCCGATGAGCATGAGGACTCCCAGAGTGAGGATGTAGGGCCTCCTGCGGCCCCACGCAGAGCGGCAGTAGTCACTGGCCGAGCCGATAACCGGCTGCAGTAAGAATCCCAGGATGGGGCTGATGAGCCACACCAGGCTGTAGAGGCTGCGAGGCAAACCCACGCTGAGCAGCACCGGAGTCACAAAGGCGGCCTCCACGGCGTAACAGAATTCCCTTCCAAACATAACCATTCCGTGGAGGATGAGCCGCCCCCTGGAGCGCCGCGGAGGCTCCACAGCCCCAAACACCGAGCCCTCCCCACTGTCCATGAAGTCCTCTTTGGAGCAGTCTGTGGTGTAGCTCTGGAAACCATTTCCCAGATGCTTCTGTGTCTGTGGAAGGCGACAGGGCTGCGGCCGGACGGACTGGTCGTCTGACAGCAGAGTCATGGTCACAGGGGGCAGGGAGAGAGCCTCTCTGTGGTGGAGCCAGGATCAAGAAATCCAACCAAAATCCAAAACCAGGCCCGACTAATCCTTCTCTCTACTGCATTCTGCATAGTCCAAACTCACAGCTTAACTCTCCTAACTTCCTCTGACAGAACATCTCGACTCGCTGAGGAGGAAAGGAGAGAGAGGAGGGCAGGGGCTGTATTTATGGGCTGGAGCAGGTCTCCTCCCAGAGCAGCCAGGCCTCAGGAAAACTTTCTATGAAACAGTATTTACACATGTGAGCGCACTGTGACGCTCACACTCTCTCATCCACACGCTCTGTTATACAAAGAAACACACATCCATTACTCAACACTTACACTGCTACATTGTGACTGTGATACAGTACGATGCCTAGGAAAACTATTCCCAAATCCTACATTGATTTAAAGATTTCTGTTGCAGGAGGTTGTGGTTTGGATTCATGAGTTTGATCCTGATCAAGGCTCATTCAACACACTATTGTTATTGTAATAATTTCTAATAATAATTTTAGCAAATTTCAATACAAAGTTAAAAGGTGTTTCATATAATCACAAACATCTATTAAAACCAGACAATGAAGCTAATCAGGAAATTATCAGAAACTCACTCTAGACGTGACGAGGGGCTGGATTTGAAAGACTATTGTTCACTTAAAAACCAGAAATAACAGATTATCAGCGATCACTGGACGACAAGGGCGGAGAGATACCAGAGAAAGACCAGAGAGAAAGACCAGTGAGATAGATCAGAGAGAGACCAGAGAGAGACCACAGAGAGACCAGAGAGAGATCAGAGAGAGACCAGCGAGAGACCACAGAGAGACCATAGAGAGACCAGCGAGAGACCACAGAGAGACCATAGAGAGATCAGAGAGAGATCAGAGAGAGATCAGAGAGAGACCAGCGAGAGACCACAGAGAGACCATAGAGAGATCAGAGAGAGACCAGAGACAGAGAGAGACCAGAGAGATAGATCTGAGAGAGACCAGAGAGAGAGAGAGACCAGTGAGATAGACCAAAGAGAGACCAGAGCAAGACCAGAGAGAGAGACTAGAAAGAGACCAGAGTGTGACCAGAGAGAGACCAGAAAGAGACCAGAGAGTGACCAAAGAGAGACCAGAGAAAGGCCAGAGAGCGGCAAGGCAAGGCAAGTTTATTTGTATAGCACAATTCATACACAAGGCAACTCAAAGGGACCAACTCAAAGGGACCAGGTCTGCAAACTAGCTGTTAGCTATACGGCCTATGAACATAGCATCGGTTCCTGTCTCAATGCTTCCTGTTCTGTCCCTATCAAATAAACAAACATAATAATAACTAGAAACTTGCAATGGCTGAAGCCATTGCGATTGACTGCGGAACAGATCTAATGTGGAAATCTGCTAAAAAAAATCCTTGAAATCCTTTAAAAAGCCTTGAAACTGTTAAAATACTTGATAGATATTTGAAACTCCTGAAGTCCTTGAAATTGTTGAAACCTTTAAACTCCTGAAATCCTTGAAACTGTTGAAACATTGAAACTCCTGAAATCCTTGAAACTTTTTTAAACCTGGAAACTGTTGAAAGTGTGGAAACTCCTGAAATCCTTGAACCTCCTGATATCCTTGAAACTGGTTAAATTCTTAAACAGCTGAAATCCTTGAAACTACTGAATGTATTGAAAGTGTCCTTGAAACTGAAAAATCCCCTCACCGCTGAAACAATTTGGTTCCTGTAACTAAGGAAACCTGGTCTGTGGTCATTATCTGGTGGTGGTCTGAGTCTTCGTTTGGGTCTTGGTCTGGTGGTATAATGCAACCTATTAGGTTGCATTATACATGAAAAAACCCTATTAAGTTGCATTATACTGGTTTACATGAAAAAAACCCTATTAAGTTGCATTATACTGGTTAACATGAAAAAAAACCCTATTAAGTTGCATTATACTGGTTTACATGGAAAAATCCCTATTAAGTTGCATTATACTGGTTTACATGGAAAAATCCCTATTAAGTTGCATTGTACTGGTTTACATGGAAAAAATCCCTATTAAGTTGCATTATACTGGTTTACATGTAAAAAAAAACCCTATTAAGTTGCATTATACTGGTTTACATGGAAAAATCCCCATTAAGTTGCATTATACTGGTTTACATGAAAAAAAAACCCTATTAAGTTGCATTATACTGGTTTACATGAAAAAAAACCCTATTAAGTTGCATTATACTGGTTTACATGGAAAAATCCCTATTAAGTTGCATAATACTGGTTTACATGGAAAAATCTCCATTAAGTTGCATTATACTGGTTTACATGAAAAAACCCTATTAAGTTGCATTATACTGGTTTACATGGAAAAATCCCTATTAAGTTGCATTGTACTGGTTTACATGGAAAAATCCCTATTAAGTTGCATTATACTGGTTTACATGAAAAAAAACCCTATTAAGTTGCATTATACTGGTTTACATTGAAAAAACCCTATTAAGTTGCATTATACTGGTTTACATGGAAAAATCCCTATTAAGTTGCATTATACTGGTTTACATGGAAAAATCCCTATTAAGTTGCATTATACTGGTTTACATGGAAAAATCCCTATTAAGTTGCATTATACTGGTTTACATGGAAAAATCCCTATTAAGTTGCATTATACTGGTTTACATGGAAAAATCCCTATTAAGTTGCATTATACTGGTTTACATGGAAAAATCCCCTATTAGTTGCATTATACTGGTTTACATGGAAAAATCCCTATTAAGTTGCTTTATACTGGTTTACATGTAAAAAACCCTATTAAGTTGCATTATACTGGTTTACATGTAAAACTCCCTATTAAGTTGCATTATACTGGTTTACATGTAAAACCCCTATTAAGTTCCATTATACTGGTTTACATGTAAAAAACCCTATTAAGTTCCATTATACTGGTTTACATGAAAAAACCCTATTAAGTTGCATTATACTGGTTTACATGAAAAAACCTATTAAGTTGCATTATACTGGTTTACATGGAAAAATCCCTATTAAGTTGCATAATACTGGTTTACATGGAAAAATCCCTATTAAGTTGCATTATACTGGTTTACATGGAAAAATCCTATTAAGTTGCATTATACTGGTTTACATGGAAAAATCCCTATTAAGTTGCATTATAACAGGTTTACATGAAAAATCCCTATTAAGTTGCATTATACTGGTTTACATGGAAAAATCCCTATTAAGTTGCATTATACTGGTTTACATGGAAAAATCCCTATTAAGTTGCATTATACTGGTTTACATGGAAAAATCCCCTATTAAGTTGCATTATACTGGTTTACATGAAAAAATCCCTATTAAGTTGCATTATACTGGTTTACATGGAAAAATCCCTATTAAGTTGCATTATACTGGTTTACATGGAAAAATCCCTATTAAGTTGCATTATACTGGTTTACATGGAAAAATCCCTATTAGGTTGCATTATACTGGTTTACATGTACAAATCCCTATTAAGTTGCTTTATACTGGTTTACATGTAAAAACCCCTATTAGGTTACATTATAGGGTTTACATGTAAAAATCCTTATTAAGTTGCATTATACTGGTTTACATGTAAAAACCCTATTAAGTTCCATTATACTGGTTTACATGTAAAAACCCCTATTAAGTTCCATTATACTGGTTTACATGTAAAAACCCTATTAAGTTGCATTATACTGGTTTACATGAAAAAAACCCTATTAAGTTGCATTATACTGGTTTACATGGAAAAAATCCCTATTAAGTTGCATAATACTGGTTTACATGGAAAAATCCCTATTAAGTTGCATTATACTGGTTTACATGGAAAAATCCCTATTAAGTTGCATTATACTGGTTTACATGGAAAAATCCCTATTAAGTTGCATAATACTGGTTTACATGGAAAAATCCCCATTAAGTTGCATTATACTGGTTTACATGGAAAAATCCCTATTAAGTTGCATTATACTGGTTTACATGGAAAAAACCCTATTAAGTTGCATTATACTGGTTTACATGGAAAAAACCCTGGCATTTACTGGTTTACATGGAAAAAACCCTATTAAGTTGCATTATACTGGTTTACATGTGAAAACATGGAAAAATCCCCATTAAGTTGCATTATACTGGTTTACATGAAAAAAAACCCTATTAAGTTGCATTATACTGGTTTACATGAAAAAACCCTATTAAGTTGCATTATATGGTTTACATGGAAAAATCCCTATTAAGTTGCATTATACTGGTTTACATGGAAAAATCCCTATTAGGTTGCATGATTACACTGAAGTCCTTGAAACTGCTGAAGTCCTTGAAACTGCTGAAGTCCTTGAAACTGCTGAAGTCCTTGAAACTGTTGAAGTCCTTGAAACTCTTGAAATCTTGAAACTGCTGAAATCCTTGAAACTGTTGAATCCTTGAAACTGTTGAATCATTGAAACTGTAGAAATGTCTGAAAGAGCTGAAGTCCTATTAAAATGCATGGGCCTATTAAAATGCATTGCAGAATTCTCAATGCAGATTTTTGTCCGATTGCGGAAAAACCGGAAATCGCTGAAGTCCCAAAAGTAATAGCAATAATCTCCCAAACATGTGGAACGTTTTGATGTATAACTTGTGGAAATTGTTGAAAATGTGAAAGCTGTGAAACGTGTCAAAAAAAATGACGGAATAAAGAAATACAAAACCAATGGTTGACTGCGGAAAGTTCCGCAGTCAATCAAAAAGTGCTGAACAAGACAGCACTAAATTCATGAATAATCACAGAACATTAAAAAGAAAGATAGAAATATAAAATCCCTCAGTTGTATGCACAGCTAAACAGAACTGTTTTTAACCTGGTTTTAAACATTGTCAGAGAGGACCAGAGACCAGAGAGAAGCCAAAGAGAAACCAGAGAGAGACCAGAAAGAGAGGGACCAGAGAGAGAGAGAGAGACCAGAGAGAGAGAGAGAGACCAGAGAGAGAGAGAGAGAGAGACCAGAGAGA